CATGACACCTACACCTCAAATTCAGTTTCATATCCCATTTTTCCTTTTTATATCATACCAGGACCATATGTTTAGGTATATTGCATCTTGCTGTGCAGTGTTGTGAGGACATAGGCATGACCTGGTGCAGATGTGAGAGTAAGATCCACATTAGCATGGCTATTTTGCTTTCTCTTCCAAAGCTAACTCATTCATAACCAGCCTCTCTACATCGTGGTGCAACAGAGTTAATTTGGGGGGGGAACTCAAGGTAGTATATTTACATGGACTCCACTGTGGTGTGCAAATGTACCCTCTCTTTGGAGCTGGTTCTTAAAAGGCCCTGCACTACTGGGTGTGGCCATACATGTGCCATACATAAGACCCTCAGGTCTTTTGCTGACTGCATGCCCCAGTAGGAAGGATATTGGCATTAGCAGGATACATACAGGAAAGACTTTATCAGCCCACTTCAAAGAACATAAGAAAGATATGAGGTGGCTAACAACAGGAAGAACAAACAGATCAATTTATTCACTCATGGTATATGATGCAGCAAGGAAAGGTGCAAGCCAAGTTGGAAACCAAGTCATGTGGGAAGGAGTAAACCAGGCCAATTCCAATCATATAAAACAATTACCAAGGAAAAGCCACATTACCTACATAATCCTCTTTCTGTCTTGGTCTCAGTCTTGTCCCAGCATCCCTGGAAACCCCACTTAATGTAGACAGTCAGGAAGCCCTTCAAAAAAAAACCACACACCCCCCCCAAAGTCCACTACAGACATTAACTTCACCCCCTCCCTGCAAGCAGACCCAGCTTGTATCCTGTGAACTTTCAGGCAGGACACCTGATGTTCATTCTAAAGGCAGGGCACCTGGGGGTGGCTTCCTAACCAGCTTTCACCCAAGGTTGGCCAGGCCTTGAGAGAGAACCAAGAGGAAGGTCTCTCCTGCCTGGTTGTGGGCACCATCCATATGTCAACCTTCATTCAGGGCTTGGGGTTTAGAGCCCAGCACATCACCAGGCTAGATATAGATGAGTTCTAAATGTACACTGTGGTGTTGTGCAAAGATGCTGGCACTTTTGCTATCAGACCCCATGCCTATAGAGCCATCCTGATTAACTTGGGGGTATTCCCTTGTGCAGACATCTCCTTCTGCATTGTAAATGCCTTGACATTTCTATTCCAGTGGTGAGCTTGTGCCAATATTATTTTGTTCATAATTTCTTTTTATTTGTATCATAAGAATCACTGGAACAACCATCCCTTGAAGCTGACTGCCAGTCAGAGCTCCCTAGCAGCTCTCTATAATCATCAGCAGAAGCAGCAGTTTCTTTATGTAATTGTATGGAATTTAATGAAGTGGCTATTGTTTCATAAATAGGAATTACATCTTGGAGCTGTTAGTGTTTGACACCCCAGAAAGCTCATTGAAAATTCAGCTTCTGAGATTCTTAATGTAGCTGTTATTTGCCAGTGAGGCCTATAGTTCTTAATGCTTGGAAAACAAGGAATGCAATGTTGACAGTCAAAGATATAATGAATTGATGTATATGTAGATTTTATGTCTACTGTCCAAGCCACTTCGTGAGATATTTAGTCTCAGATTTAATTCTGCATGGCCAAAGTTTTCCCTTTGGAAGACTGCAAAGAGCCATTATAACTAAGCAAATATGCAGCTTTATTCTCTCTCAGCTTCTTTTTAATGACACACTCTCACCAAATTCCTTAACATGAAGCTCTTTTTTTTTTTTATTTTATCCCTGTGTTAAGTTGGTTTGGGATCTTTTCCCTTTCTGTAAAGTGGAGTGCTCTTTACTGTCATTTGGAGTTCTACTATTTAAAAGTTATAGTTGAATAAAGTTAAAAACTTGAATAAAACTGAAGATTTATGAACCTTTATGAAACAAAAAACATAATACAAGAATTCTAAAACAATGGAAATGTGGGACAGTCTATTAAACATATACTGTTGTTGGCATGAATGATTTCAAGCTGAAACATAAAACAGAAGATATTTTCAGTCTCTTAAAAAAGTAGTGAAACCACATGGACAATGTGGGTAAAGATTTGTGGAAATCCAATTTCACGTATGTCTTACACAGTTCCTGTACTTTTCTTCATGACTATTACAATTAAAAGTACTATATTTTATGGCACCACTATAAGCCTAACTCTTTTTAGTAAAACTAAAGTTCCTGCAAAATAAAACCCACTCTTTCACTGATGCACATATTTTAGTATCTAATGTGAATATTGTTTTGTGACAATCTAATATCATTTATGAACAGGCAAATCTTTTATCATTCTTACTTTTTTAAATAGTATTATAACTAAATGGTGCCTGATTTGGGATAGATGTTCTTGAACTATAAAAGACCATAAACTGTTTAGGGATTTTTACATACTTACATGCTAGTTAAGCTTTATAGACAGACTTTAGCAGACTAAAGAATTTCTACACTTAGACCAACACTATTCAAGTAACCTCAAGCTTATACAGTTTTTTTCTGTGCATTTCAGTAAGATGCTGAAGATTCAGTGGTAGTGTTAATGGATGGAGAATGCAGCTCTAGAAGGGAACAAGCCATATCTGAAATCCTCTATGAGATCTTTAATTTTTAGAGTTCTGAGAACTGTCTCCAGAGATTTGTATTTGAGTGGAGTATCTCTCACAGCTGTTTAGGTATTACAATGGGGAGATAGTCTGAAATCTGCACAGAATTAAATCCCATATTTTCCTGGTTTAGATCCCTGAAGTATATTTACATTAAACAAAACTTAGAGTACTGCCAAATAATCTAGAGAAATAAGTAGCATATGATCTATAGCAGCTGTGGAGTCTTTGGTCTCACTGTTTAGTTGTATCTTTAGTCAGTTTTGGGTTACTAATGCTATTAAGGCCTAATAATTGTTAGCTAAAAGTATCTTCCAAGTAACATTAAAAAGAAAAAAATCCCTGTGTTATTTTGAGATTCAGTTCAACAATTAATCTCAAAGGTTTGTCCTGTGTACTTTTTCCTAAAAGGTTCATCCTGCATAGTGACACTTAACTTCAAGAAGAAAGTATTCCTATTTCTCACCAGCAGTCTCAGAGAAGAGATTAAGGGTATGGCTTGACAATACACCTAAGGAGGGTTACAGCTGCTAGACCCCATTCCTCCTGGACTGCTGGCTCTTGTGTCCTAAGATTTTAACTTAAAGACTTTTTAAAATACCTTGTGCAGGCACACACACAAATCAATTTTGAGAAATTTGCTCCATGAGGCTGCCGTGTAACTGTTAGTCATTGAGGCATTTAGGATCAGGCAACCTAAATGCCTTAGTGAATCTACTCCACAAGCAGTCTGAAGTCTCAGAGGGTCCACACCATCAGTGGATGGGTGAGAAGCCCTATGGACCCTTTTCAGCACTTTCATTGAGAAACTAATTGCAGGGACTGACATTAGAGTGTTTAAAGACCACTGGGGACAAGTAATTAAGAATGTCTTTCTAAAGCTTGTAAAGAAGGTGGCATTTAGTTTCAGAGCTGAGGTAAGGACCGAAAAATTACTTGCTAACTGAAGCAAATATTTTACAAGCAGTCCTAATGTGTTGGTATTGAAGGGACTGTTGTGCTTCAGGGTGCTGTTACTGGTGTGCTTTTCCCATCTGTTTTATAGGGCAGTAGTTTAAGTGCATGTGCAGAAAATGACTCCTTTTACTGTGTTCTAATTCTTTGTTTCTTTTCCTTTCCCAATCCTAGACTCCATAGATGGAAAGCATGCTCGAAGGACTCAGTCCAGTACTCCTTTGGGAGAGTTATTTGACCATGGGCTGGATAGCTGGGCTACCTCCATCTTTGTGCTTTCTTTTTTTTCTGTCTGTTCCCGAGACAATGGGAAGACTGGAGTTTCTGTATATACAATGTATATATATTTAACCATTGTCTTGTTTAACTTCATGTGTTCACACTGGGAGAAATATAACACAGGAGTTCTTTTTCTTCCTTGGGGATATGATATAAGCCAAGTGGTAAGTATTTATCATTCCTGTTTTGGTTTTATTTTTTTAACTATGTTAGTGTTTTCATAATAATACAGGAAAAGAAAAAACAGAGCTCAAGGCAAATATATTGGGCCAAGATTTTGGATGTGAAACAGCATAACTCTAAAAGTAATTCAGAAATATTTCCTGCATTTGCAAAGAAGGGATGCTCTCAAGCAAACTGTCAGCTTCAGAGATTCATTGCCTTGTAGGAAAAAAAAAGGCTTGCAGCAAGCCTAGAGACAGATTGTGCCCAGGAGAATGTCATTTAACTGCATTTGATATGTGGTATTAACAAAAATTATTATGCTATCTGAAGCCATGAGCAATTTTCCCACCAGCTCTGGGTTCTGAGACATGATGTGAATTAGTCCAAGTAGTATTTATTAGCAGTAATTATACAGTTATAGTATACTAGAACCTCTCAGTTCTACCAGCTCTCACATCAAATGTGGTAATGAAAATAGCATTGTACCTATACAGCCAGCGTTTTTACCCTTGAAAAACAGTCAGCCTCATACCATTAGAGGTTTCCTCCCTGGGAGTGACAGTCAGTAACATGAATTACATATCAGCCCACAGTCAGTCCCCATTTGAGTTCCCTTCTGGCTTACAGCCCTCCCTTGAGATGGACCTCTTCAGAAATAGGCCCAGGGCACCCTAGTGAGTGGTGGCCTCAGGGCACCCATGAGCAGCAGCAGCAACGAGCTCATTGCACTGCCTGGGGCCCAGCACTGGGGTCTCTGGGCTTGTTCATCTTGCTCTTAGATAGCCAGGCTCTTGCAGCCTCAAGAGCACAGTCCCAGTCTTCTGAGAGCTTCCTGTCACAGGCATGAGATGAAAGGTACAACCAAATATACATAATGGAAATGAAGTTTGACAAATACTCAAGTATGTGTTTTAATGGCAATGTAGTATTTGAATGAATGGCCGCAGATGTATTGCTGTAAACATAATCAGAATCCAGTGGTTTGAGGACAACTCAGAGGTGGTGGTCCAGCTGTGATACATCTGTTTCATCCCCTAGAAAATAGGTTCTGGGAGAAGAAGTTGGCTCAGGACTAAGACATTAGGCAGCCAGCTGGTCGGCAAGTTTCAGCCATGCCTGTGTAAGGCTTCTTAGCAAAGCTCTTCCAGCAGGAGAGGAATAGCAGTGTTCCAACCAATTTCACTTGTTGCTGAGATGATGGCTGTAGATGTACATGCAGATGTTTAGAAAGCTCTTTTGGCTTGCTCCAGCATCCTAACTGGATTAGTGATTAAATGTGGGAGCAAGTATCAAACTAGCAAAGCAATGCTGTTAACTCTGTCAGTGCCTTTTAGTGACCAGGCCTCTGCCACTGCTTTCCCCTCTGGGAAATCAGGGTAACAACATTTCCCTGCCTGACAGATTTGTGCTGAGGCTGAATTTCAGTAGAGTTTGTGAACTGCTTTGATTAACTTGGATGCAAGGTGCTAACAAGTGCTGTTTCCTGTTCCCCTCTGGCTCAACTGCTGCCCTGCACACTCACTTTTAGTCACTTCTGTGATGGTTTGCCTACAGTCACAATGATAAGCATATAAATGTAAGGATTTTTTGATGCTGTATAACACAGTCATCAATAGTGGTGGAAGATTGCACCATTGAAGTGTCTGTGTGCCAGTTTTCCCATCTGTAAAAATTACCTCCTAATAGTAGTTATGATTGCCTATGAACAAGGACAAGACAGGACTTATAGATCAAGCTAGTGGCTTTTTTTTTCACCCATTAGTCCAAACTACATTGCACACACCCCAGAAAGTACGTAACATTTTTTCCCAGTTGTATTAACTAGTCTAGTAAAAAAAAAAATCTCAATTCCCCTACAAACACAGACATGCTTTTTCTTTGTAAACCCATTCAGCAGTTTTTGTATGATATGTGCACGATTAAAGGTAGCTCTTCATCTCCAGCTGCTTGGAGGAGAGGACACTGAGGACATCAGTAAATGGCTGATGATGAGCAAGAAAGGTAACATTCTTGCTCTTTTTTCTCCCCCCCATTTCTCTTTGAGAAACTCCCACAGGCACATTCAGAGGCAGGGAGTGTGAAAGCACTTCCAGGCTGCTTTCAGACTGAATCCCAGCATTTAGTTCACTGCTTCCTCCGTGGCATTCCTAGCTGGATTGCTCCATGAATGTGCCTCTCTGCTCTGTCTTAAGTCATTTCACCAACAGTGATGCTATTGCATTGGCATGTCAGACATTCAGGTGGTCCAGTCCCCTGCTTCTCCCTTTAAAATTGATGGTAGCCAGGAATTTTGGACTTCATTATCACCACAAAGCTCAGGAAACGCAGTAATTGATACAAGTGTGCAAACAGATAACTGTTGACCTTAATGCAAGCTTAACTGGCGTGTAGCTCCCAGGACACTGGTGCTGAGTCAGCTCCACTGTATATAAACACAGACAGCCTGCTTGCCGGCTCTGTGCTAATTGTGCTGTAAAAATAGCTGCTGTTCCCCAGGAAAAAATACCTCATTACAGTCACAGAAATTTATGGGACTTATGCAGATCACATTTTTCTGCAACTTGATGACTCGTCAGAATTGGTAACCTAATTACTCTAGCTGGGCTGTAATTGGCACTCCAATTAGCTTTGATTACAGCAGACAGGCATTTAGAGGGAGCTGTGGTGTGTAAACTTGAAAAATGGCTGTCATGTGTCTGGGAGATCCTTGGTCAGAGGGCTGTTATGTTTGTGGCTCCAGAATCAAGGAGGCAGCGTCTGCAGCAGTGAGAACTCTTCCCCTCTCTCCTCCCTCCAGCACAAGGAGTTATCTCCTGCCGAGCTCTCTGCAGGCAAACAAAGATGCAAGCAGAGGAGCCTCTTTATTCCATAGCATCTGAGACGATTTTCATACACTTTCAAGCAAGCACAAAGCCCTAAAAGTCAGGGGCTGAAAAGAAAACTAAAGAAGAAACCTTTGCTATGTTCTTGGATACACATTCTCAGAAGCCAAACCAAAGAAAGCTAACACCTGCAAGTTAAGTTTACTAGAGGAAAAAAAAAATCTTTCCTGAGAAAGGCTTCTTGCCGCAAGTTAAGTTTACTGGAGGAAAAAAAAAGGCAAATCTTTCCTGAGAAAGGCTTCTTGCCATATCCTGATTTTTACAGATGTTCTCTGGATTGTTTAAAAAACTTATTTTTCTCCTGAAAATTTTAACATTCCCCTAATGAAGTGCTCCCCTAATCCTGCTGTTGCTTTTCGTCAGCTGCTGTGGCTGCATTCATAGTAGGGGAACAAACTGTTCATTTTTCCTTAATCTGATGTAGTGATACCTCTGCTTACATCAGTGCCACCCTAAGCATAACAAGAAGGTACCCTTTATATTCCTACATAAAAGTTTAAAAATGAAAATAAGAGCTCTGTGAGAGCTGGAATGACCTAGGTGATTCCACACTCCTTTCTCTTGCTCTCCTCAGCCAAGGGGACAAGCTGGAGAAAAGCAAAAAAACCACAAGTACCAAGTGTGAAAGGCAACAGGCAGCTCTGTCTGATCCTGCCCTAGCCCTGTAAGGAGAGGATGACCAGAAATCCTGTATACAGTCACACCTGAGGACATGATTGCTTGGACCATAAGCCCCAGGCTTTCCCTTTGAGATGCTCTTTTGCTGGCCACTTGTCCCAGTAGGAAGGGCAAGGCCATTAGCAGCATACATGTAGGAAAGACTTTACCATCCATTCCAAAGCACATAGGGAAGATAAGAGTTGTCTGACCACCAGAGGAATAAACAGATCAGTGCATTCACTCACAGTACATGATGCAGCAAAAAAAGGAGCAAGCAGAGTCAAACCAGGCCATGGGGGAAGGAGTGAGGCAGGTCATCAGTCCCATTCCAATCATACAGCAATTGCCAAGGAAAAGCCACATTACCTACATAATCCTCCTTCTGTCCTGGCCTTGATCTTGTCCCACCATCACTGGGAGCTCTACTTGCAGTAGACAGTCAGGGAGCACTTCTGATAACTGGAAGCCCCACACAGCACATCTACCATACAGGTAAACTTCCCAAATCTGCCAGCAGAGCCAGCTTTTATGTTGTTAACTTAGAGGGAGGACACTTGATGCTAATGCCTAGGGCAGGGGCACCTGGTGGTGATCTCCTCATCAGTTCCCACCCAAGGCTGGCCAGACCCTGGGTGAAAAGCAATCAGGAGGGTCTTTCTTGCCTGGCTGTGGACATCATCCATCTGCCCACCCTCATTCAGGGCTGGGGGTTTAACCCCAGCACTTCAGATGCATTCCCTGCTAGTTCTGCCCCATGGCTTTGGACAGTCCCACGCTCAAGGGAGAGGATGCTGCTTGCATTGAAACTCCAAATAAATTAAGTATATGATGCAGGTAGCAATTTAAACATTGTAGAACTTTCTTTTCTCCTTCCTTTCAGTCAAAACAGCAAAAGAGGGTTTTTGGATGTCATTTACCAGGTTTTCTTTTGAGAAGCAGTTCACAGAACTCATGCGGAAATAAGTTTCATGTGACCTTTTCCTGGGGAGAACTGTGGCAGCCAGTGTTTCAGGAACTGGCAGAGAAATCCCAAGCAGTGCACGTCACATTTTTACAACATGCCTGTCTTCTCTGAGGGGCAAAAAAAATGTCTACGCTAAAATGGAAAATTAAGATTCCAATCTGTCATTCTTTGGCCATGTTAACAGGATTCAGAATCATTTTTATGTTCGTTCAAAAAGATATTCCCTTGCAGAGTTTTTCTGATTGGAAGGGTCTGTGGAAAGCACAGCCTTTCTTAGGAAGAAATAACGTTGGTTATGCTTTAGTTCCAAAGGTGGAACTAAACACTGGAAGGTTTAAGTGGCTCCAAACACTGGAGTTGTTGAAGAACTGACAGTGGTGTGGAAGCAGCCCTGGCCAGGCCATGGTGTCTGCTTCCAGCTGCCTCCTGACACAGCTGGAAACCAAACTCAGTACCTGAGGGAAGCCCCACAGTGTGTCCATGGGAGATTTAAACAGAAGAACCTGCAATGCACAGGCTCCTTCTGCAGCAGATTGCTTCATTCTTAACCACTCCATTATGATTCTGCTCAAAACTTTCTTGGCTAATTAATCTTCCCCGTGCATTTAGCCATTTACCTATTGTAACCTGCATGTCTAAATGCAAAATGACCTTTTCAATACATATAAAAAACTATTTTAATAGGCTGAATTTGCCACCTTTATTTATTGAAAGGAAAAATACTGGAAAAAAAAATAAAATGGAAGAATTACACATCACACTAAAGCTAACTCCTGTTGGAAGGACTTGCAGGAGATTGTCAGTTTGTACTTTCTTAGACAAGTGTCATATTTATTTTCAGAGGAAAAAAGTAGCCTTGTATTTTAAATTGATTTGCTCTCTAAATGTTCAGTTTGAGCACTGTGAATGGAAAGTATTTCAACACATAAACAACCAGTGGAATATGTTAGGAAAATTGAGCATTACAGTAAAATTCATGCCATTTTTTGTAGAATCATAAAGAATTTAAAAGCATAGCCAGTGTATTTTTTAAAAAAGATGAGAGGATGTGTAGTACATCATAGAGCATACTCAACGTGTCTGTTTGTAAAACAGGCATGGCAGATCATTAGAGAGAAAAAAATGTATGTTCTACACAGAGTGTAGAACATTTTTGTCACAAAACCTAGACCTGGAGTTGTGGAAAGGTGTGAAAGAGATGGTGATTTTTATGAAACTGAGCATTTTAGAGAGCAGTTAAAAGGCTAGAAGCCAGAGGATTCTGAAGAGTTATACTGTCTTGTGGTTATATAGAATTCTCCTAATCAAAGAGGTAATATTCTGATTTTACAGTCAGAATTTTGTTCTTGCAAAGGCAATTTAAACAGCCAATTCTGCAGTGCCTCGTTCCAGCAAAACTCTTTAGAAGTTACGTACTGATAGGGCAAGGATCTTGAAATTAGATGCAGAGAATAAGTGAAGTCAAATAGTGTAATTATAGTGTAATAGGGGGTTCAATGGACAACAGTGTTTTGATGCTAAACTGTGATCTTAAGCAGCCTGTTATCTAGAAAAAAAAGATCTTCAGTGTCCCTTTAAAGCAATTCATTTAATTTGGAAGACTGGAAAAGTGTTTGTTGGAGTTAAAAATGAAGATAAAACAATACAGCAAAAAGTGAGTATTTCAAAAACCTAAACCAAATCCTGTAAGGTCTGTGACACACGTAAAACTGTAAAGTATCTGTCATCCCAGAGTGAGGAGCAAAGGTTACTGAGTGTTACTTGGGAAGAGATATATGAATATGCAGATTTCTGAATGGCATTACAATTAACATAATAATTTAGAGCTGAAGTAAATTTTTGCAATTCATTGTTAATTCAAGTCTAGAATAGTTCAGGAGGTTGAGATGTAGCATGAAACCTACGTCCCCTTGTGAGTCCTCCAGCAAATCTAAACTGCTGAGAACAAAGTAGCCTGGAGAAAGGGAGGGGCAGAAGTGTCACAGGCTGGGTGCTGCCAGGAGAAGGGGCTGCAGGGGCTGGGTGGCCTGGGCTAAGCCAGGGAATGGGTTTTGGGGGAGAGAGGGATCCTTAGAGGAGTGGGATCAAAGGTGTGAGGGCTTTGGAACCTGCGTCCCATTCAGTTCTGCATCCACACACTACACACCTAAAATGGGAAAGCTTCACCAGTTGGTGCCATGAGCTGGAGGTGATGCTGCTACAGGCACCAATGGGTGTGAAAGCTGTTGCTAGAGGAGCTACAGGGGGCTGCACTGACATTTCTGACCTCAGCTGGGTCACAAAATGAACTCTGAAGAGGGTAGAAACTAATTTACAGCTCTACTGAAACTGGTGGAACTTCAGCAAGTGACCTGCGAGTCTTGTGTCTGAGTCCTTTTGCTCCTAGTGACATTTTCTACATGTTTCTTTGTGTCCTGTAATGATGTCATCTGCCAAATAAATTAAAAATCAGGGAAGACTTCAACTCCTGCCCCTTCTTTTAATTTCTTCACATCCAATTGATATTTATTATTATTTCAGGTGAGCTTAGGTTTTTTTCTCCTCAGTTATTCTGATATGATCAGTTCAGGGGACTGAGCTGCAGAAATAACCACATGGCTAATTCTGAAATCTGTATGCAAGTACAAGAAAGTGCATGTGCAGTGGGGATTAAGAAGGGGTTTAGAAATGAGGTGTTTTGAAAAGGTAAGTCAGTAATACCCCATGCAAACATGCACACAATTGCAGGGAAGTTGCTTGCTTACCATATTTCATACATTTAAAATCATTTTTTTAGTGACCCTGGAAGCTGCTTCACTGCTTAGAAGTAATGGTTTAGGGATGGCTGAATAAGGTCCTGTAAAATGGAGACAGAAGGAAAACAACTGATTTTTTTTTTTTTTTTTTTTGCTTTTGCTACTGTATTATGATGATAAGTGAAATTCTATATGCCTTTAGAAGTAAAGAATTGAAAATATATTATTGGTTTTTTGTAGGTATTAATTGCAGCATATCTGCTCACGGGTGCTGTTGGTGTGGAGATCTGGCAGAAGCCTTTCCTCTTTGGTTATTACATTACAGATGCATTGGTCATCTTGCTTATAGGTAAGTGTCCAGATCCATGCAAAACTACTGCTTTTAAATTATTTTGATTAACTATTCCTTATATTTCCTTCTTTTTCTTTCCTTTTGTGAGTGTTCGTTAGTCCAAAAACCCACCTGAGTGAGCTGAATAAAAGGGCTAATACTGGAAAACTTTTTAAAAAGTCAGTAATTTTGGAAACATTTTTCCTTACTGAATTCCTATCTGTTGCACCCAAATAATACAGCAAATGTTCTTTATCTGCACGTGCAGTGCAGTGTGCTGGCTGGCTGGCTCTCAAAGTCCCAGCCACTCCTCGTGTCACTCAGGTAAAATGCTACTCACATGTACATATACTGGAAATTTAACATTTTGGCCTGCAGCACACAATGCTCCAAAACATGAAGGATGGAAGGAATAAAGGCATTATCTAAATTATCTTAGGAGGCACAACTGTAAATCTGAAGAAGAGATGAGTGCTTTCTAAGCTCTTCTTTAGCATTACTTTCTGAACAGAACTGATGGATTTTCATACACAGCAATAGCCTATTTGCTCATTATTTGATACTGTCAGCATAGTTTGAAATAAGCATCTAACATTATTCAGCTGCTATAGCTAGCCTGAGAACAAGAGCAGTTACATTTTCATGAGTTAAAACCATGGTAGTCTTAGTGAAAAATGTGTGTGAGAAAAATGGCTTTAATGTGTTGCTTGGAAGTTGAAGAAATTAGGATATAAATTTTAGGGATTTTGATATGAGCATACAAATGAGGAGAATGCACCAAAAAAAAAAATGTTTGACATGTTTGACACAGAGTCTAGACTTACATCCCAAGAGTTGTCTTTAGTCCTTGAGCCAAATGGAGGACTTGGATATAGGTGCTCTAACTCTGACTTGAACTAGGAGCCATCTGAGCATTTTTGGGGTACTTTTGAATTCTTTGCATTGACATGTGCTCTCACCACCCTTTTCTGTGGTGTGGTCTTTAGCAGGTACCTCCTCCAGGCTCAGCTTCCCAGTATTCCTGGATTAGAAAGGACACTGTGTAGTGAGCAGCATGTACAGGGCCATGGTTTTGACACTCCTTTGTGCTTTACCCAGAGTATAAAATGGACCACATGAGACCAATGGCATACAGGGTTGGTTGGTTGTTTTTTTGTCAAGCTTGTTTTGGACACTGAGGAAAAGAAAGGAAGGAAAGGGGAGAACCAGTAGTTGCCTTTTCAGTAGTCAAGTTAAACATGGCTTTAAAATATGAAAGGAATTATTTTGGTTGACTCTGTATTACAAAATTGTCACAGTGCTTTGTAAACCTCTTAAAAACAGACTCTGAATTTAAATATTACAAAAGTAGACTCTTTGCACTGAACATCATGCTTATCCAGAAGGCACTGCCATTTCACCCCAGGTTTGAACCTCAGCTCAGCAGCAGTGATTCAGGTGGTTATCACTGGATAACCTGGGTGCAGTGAATATGGATACATAAGGTTTTTTAGAAGCTTGCAGTAAGTTGCAGGACCCAATGGTGACTGCAGAAAAGTATTGATCTAACCTACACCTAGGGCTGCGTGGGCAGGAAGATGAAATTGTTTTCACCCTTCTGGAGGTTGCAGCAAGTGTGTCTTTTGCTCAGCCAGACCCGTTTGTGTCAGAGCCTGTGCTCTGGCGTGCTCACTGAAATGCCTCTGTGGCTAGTTAAAGCAGCAATGCAGTGGGCCTCTGATGCTTTTTACAAGTTAGTTTCCCAGGACCCTGAGAGGAGCCATTAAACAGTAACTGTCTGTCCTTAACCATCTGATGGCATTTAGGAGTCACTAGTGGTCCTTCTCACAATGAACCTGTAGCTGCTCCATCAATACTTGGCATTTGTTTTGTGCTTTTACTGTTGTGTCCACAAGAGGAGTCGAGCTGCTGAGCCATCACTTCTCTGAGAACAGCTGGGCTTTAGCTAGCTCCTTCTCTAGTGGGAAGAAATCCAAATTAGATGCACAAGAGTGGAGGTTTTCAGATGTCTTTCCTGGATTTTGGGGGTAAGGATAAAAAAAAAAAGAATAGCCCACATGTAACCTAAGGATGAACTCTGCAAAACCACCTCCTCAGAGGAAGCTGTGGTCTCACCAGGTGACACTCACCCACTGAAAATAATGGAATTTTTATCAGGTGCCAGAACACACAAAGATATACATAAAAGTGCAGCAATACTGGTGTTTAGATTAGATGTTTTAGGAAAGCCTCCCAAGAGAGAGCTTTATGTATGTCCCTGGGAACTGTCTAGCATGCTGTGAACACCTGTAGGAAGGCTGAGCTGCTGAGCCGTGACCTCAGAGGACTCCACCGTGAAGCAGAAAACTTCTGCATACTGTTTTATGGGAATTTTTCAGCTGCCTAGCAAACAAAAACCTGTAATTTTCACAGGCAGTGAATGCAATTCCATCCTGCAGCTCCAAAACACACACCTAGCTGGACAGCAGGCAAAGGAGGCTGTTCTCCTGCTTCCAGAGCATGTTGTCCTGGCTGCTGGATGGAAATGCTGCTTCTCTGGTGGTGTGGCAGCAGGCAGACCTTGCTGAAGCTGTGTGCCTCTGTGCTCAGCTGGAACTAAAGACTTCTGCCCTCAGCAAGGCTCCTGTGGCTGACTCTCCAAAAGCTCTCTTGGGATTTAACCACAATTGTCCCCTAGCATTATCTGGGTAACTAGGGTCCCTTCAAAGAGCAGCACGGGGGTGAGAGCCATCATTTATTCTCACCCCTCCAGGGTACCCTGGATGCCTAGCATTCCCTGTCACTGGGCTGTCAGGTTGAGAGCAGTATAAAATATTTACAGTAAGCATTTTAAAACAGTCCACTCCCCACATAATGTCTTGTACCACAAACGGTGCTGTAGGGTTCATAAGATGATTTTCACTGGCAGGTAAACATCAGTAGTTCATGGAGCAGCATTACTAATTGATGATGGTTTCTGTCTCACATTGCAATTAAATGACCTGTAAGAAGTGCATGCTGTGAATGAAGCATTTTCCATTCTGGGGACTTTCATACTTGCTCTCTAGATTTTTATAATGACTAATAAAATTCAAATTCAGGCTGCAATCCTCTCCTCACTGAAGGTATTTATATGTTTACCTGACTGTTATTTCCATGCAAGTTACTACAAACATCTTCCAGTCTATTAAATTTATTTAGAATTGACCAGAGGGCTCAAAAGTGATGGTGGGATGCACACAAACAAGCAAAGTGTTCTCACGTCAGCTTCACTGCTTAGAAAGCCAGACTGAAAAAATGACTTCTGGGTGTACAAGAAGATTCCCTCTCCTCTTCAGTATTAACTGCAACCACAAGAATAAGCTTTGTGGTTAAAGGACCACTAAAGCATGGACTGAAAATGTTGTACTTCTTCAGTGTCTGGTACATGAGGCAGGCTGTCCTGTAATCCAGACATGGTGGCACATTTGAGTCAACTCTGTCTGCTCAACAGTGCCCAGAGCTGGCTACTGAAGTCTGTGGCAAAACTGTGACATTTTTAAAGTACAGGTTTGCACATGAAATGTGAATGGAGCACTAACATCTGTCAGAGATCTGAATCTTGGACTTTCTTTTAGAGAAGGGGCCAAAGCATTCAGAATTTTTTCCTATGATGTTTGTTGCTTCTGGTTCTGTGCTGACTTTCACAGAGTGTGTGTTCCTTGAGTTTCACTTTTTCTCTGAGCTACTTACATATGTAAAATGAGGAGCAAATACATAAATGGCAACATAATAGCAGCACAAAAATAGTGATGAGACTAAAGCCACAACATTTGAAACATGCCAAGTATGTGAATTCTGCCATAGTGGGAAAGCAGTTATCCATCTGAACAGTGCCTTGTCCTGACACCCTGTCCTGTATCTGTGTACCAAAGGAGGACAGGGAAGTCCTTCCAGGGGGTAACTTTGCAGCAGCCTGCCCTTCTTCAGTGTCAGAAAGTGTTGAGGAGGCCATGGTCAAATTGTGAATTGTTTCTGTTTCATACAGACAAGTCATTCTGTAGTTATTTCCTACAGTTTCCATTGGGAAGTGGTTCAGCCTTACTGATGGCTCGTGGAGCGATTAAATGTTAAGGGATATGTTTTCAGAATGTTATCACTCCAAGAGGCTTTGACTGGCCTCGTTTGAAAAGTGTGGTTAACATGAGCTGGCTTCTGTGTGTCTGTCACCAGTTTAACATTTATTAAAGCATTGTTGTGACAGATTGTACAAGGCTTCATTGAAGTAAAAGGTGTGAAAACCTCACCTGTCACTTGAGATCTGTGTAAAAGCAGTTGAGTTCATGTCTGGAGTAACTCCTCTGAACCAGTCAGAACCATACCCCAGGAGAGCAGAGCTCAGCCGGAGGCAGGGTGGTGTCACAGGGTGCTGGGACAAGTGGGAGTGGGTTTGGGGGTGTGAGCCCTCAGGAGTCATTTCACGGGTGGTGGGAGCCCCAGAAAAAGTCACACAAGGGAGCTTACCTGGTGGAGTCCTTCTGGAAGCCAGTCTGGGCTTTTCAAATAAAGGCACCATTTTTCTGGTGCTTGATTCTTGCTGTGCCCAGAATGAGAGGATGATGTGTACATGCTGTGTGAGCAGGACTACTTCTGTGTCCTTAAACTAAATTCTCAGCCTGTACTAAATCCCTCCAAATGCTAGTTAGCTTACAGCTCAGTTCAAGAGAGATATATGTAGTACTTCCTTAGACACTGAAAATAAGCTATAAAATCATCAAGCATGATAAATGCATCCCTTTACAATCTTTCTACTCAAGAAGTATCTTAAATGCTAAACAATTGCTATCCAAAGCATACCTCAACTTTGTGCATGAAGATAGGGCTCATGGTTACACTGTGCTCTTACTCCCTGTAAAATAATTTCATGCTGTGTAGATCTGTTTGGGTGTATTTTTTCATCTGTGCTTATATTGCTTAATATATTCAGACATTACAGGTTTAATTAAGTCTGAAAATTATATACTTGTTTTCTAAGCTTCTCCCCCCCAATTATTAAGTGGTTCTAAGTTTGCCATATTATATAGTAATGAAACATAATTTTATAGTTAGTGGACAGCTCAATATGCAATCATCTGTTTGCACAACCAATTAAAAGAATTATCTTCTCAAGACATGCCTGAGAAAATCACACCATTCCATAAGAAGCTGCTGTTCCAGTCACAAGTGCTTCTAAATGTTCACCTGTTGTGAAGCTTCCAGGCACTGATCAGTGCTAAACACTCAGTGTGTTAAGATATTTTCATGCATCTAGCTGCTCTAAGCATAGAAGAAATTTGGAAAAAAAACATGGGAAACGTATTTGAACATTTTTTTTTCAAGCTAATTTTGAGGCCTAAGTGTTTTTAAACTCAATTTTTGGTCTAAGAAAAGTAAATTATAACATCCTGGTTTTTTTAAACCAAGCATTCACTATGGTGAGTTAGTAGCCTGGAGATCAGGAGGGCAAGCAGTATACTGAAGAAGGCCATGTGGAGCTGTGGGCAACTGAAGAGCAAGAGATAGTCTTCCATTTGTATCCTGAAATGCAACTACAGTTACCTGCTGTTAAAGAGCTGATTTATACTGAGCTCAACTTCTCCAATACACCCAGAAGATCTGCACAGACCTCTTCACTGCCTCCCAAATGGAAGGAAAGCTCTGAGGAGTCTTTTGGGGGGAGCACAGGAGGGATGGAAGGGTATTATCCTGAATTAACTCCCCCAGCTTCCAGTGCAGTGTTCACCTAAAACATATGATAACCTTAACCTAAAATTACATCCTTGTACAGCACCATCTCATCTTTGATCCTTTACTTGTCAGGAAGAACCAATTTTTAGCATATATTATAGCTTTATATTGAATATTTCAAAGGTTCACTGGTCAGGAACTTTCCAACAAATGGTTTATGACAGCAAAAATGTCTGGAAGATAAGCATTATCTTGCTTTTGAAGCAGTATAATTTGTTTGAAAAATAGTGGTTTAGGTGTCTTGGCTACCTACTGGAGTTGCTTCTTTATTTAGTGGTGTTCATAGTCTGTGAGGTTTGGTGTGTTCAGGAACCTGGCTGCCTTTGGCCACCAGCGTGGAGCTCCTCTGCTGGTTACTGGAATACCATTTCCTAGAGCTGCCAGTAGCCTCAGCAGTGCTTTTCTGGCCATACCCACTCTTCCTCCATGACAAACAGGTCTGTAATTTGCAAAAATCCCTAAATTAACTCAGGTACAACAGCCACACGTGCCACATGTCATGTCACAGAAACAACCTGAGTATCTGCAGGTCTTCAATAGTCTTTGAGTTTAGTTATGTAAGGGTTTAAGATGCCCTAGTGCAACTAAACTTAAATAAAGTCTAGACTAACACAGGGGACAAATGCACCATGGTATCTATCACATGCAAGCTTTTATTTTTAATTCACTCAGAAATTTCAGGTAACATGTTACTGTTTTGGAATTCAACTTGAAAGCACCAAATGTAATCTAAAGTTGTCACTAAAATTAATGGAAATTATCTTTTCCATCCCTTTTACACACACATGTGTTTATAAGTATGCATGTGTGTGTATTTATGCATATTTGGAAAACAAGATGATGACTATTTATGACATGTTTCTAATCATGAATCTTTGAATGTATTTGGGTTGGGGTTTTTTGTTGTTTTGTTTGGGTTTTGTTTTTAATATGAACAAAACAATTCCTGATAAAGAGTTTTGCCAGTGCTTATTTCTCTGAAAAGGGAGTGACCATAGGGTTGTAGCTCAGTCCGAGGATTTGGGCTTGATGCCTTCAGCCTAACATGACACGAGAAATCCCTGTGTGTATCTGTGCCATCCATCTGTGCTTCAGTGCTTCTGCCTTGAATGCAGGCCTGTGTTCTTAAAGTTGTCTCAGATTTTAAATTAGCCAGAAAATGGGGGGAAATATTACAGGAGAAATTAAAAAATACTAGAAGAGCAGTAATACCTCTAATAATAATAACTTATCATTAGCTTCCTTCATCATAGGAGGAGTTCTACTTTCTGTGTAAAAACATCTAATGCACCAAACTTGATTTTTAAATGGTTTGAAAATGAAATATGTGCTTTTAGGTCATTAAAAAAAAAAAAAAGGCTCCATCATCATCCCTTGGGCCATTCCTGGGTGGCTGAGAGCCAGAGGGACAGCTCTGGGTTTGCTTTCCAGGCTGCACCTTTTGTTCCCCAGACCAGCAGGGAATGGCAGCAATGCGGAAGCAGCAGTTTAGCTTCTGGGCACAAAGGGATCCTTAATGCCAATTAAAAAGCAGACTTAATGAGTACCAAAAGCAGCCCCCAAGCCAGGCCCCCTTAGCTAAAAAAAGATGGGAAAGCAACATGTTGTAGGAAACGATGGAATTTTGAAAATCCCGATAGAAAGAGGGGAACACCCTTTGCTTTCCCTCCTGCAGCCTCAGCTCCTGCTCTGCTGAAAGCAAAGCCCTGTAAAATAAAAATACAGGGGAGTAACTGGTGGAACTGCCCCATTTGGAAAGTGGCTTTTAGCTAGCTGGGGGATTGTTTGTGGTCAGTGTGTTATTTCTAACTAAAATGGCACTTCATAAAAATAACAAATTGTTGGCAACCATTGCTCTTTGAATTCTATTTCTAGTTCTTGTCTCTATTTCTGTTCCTCTCGGTTGCTTTTCTGCTAACAAATCAAACTTCAGGATTGCAGCAGGAAATTTAGATTTAACCTCAAGAGTCAATGTTTTGTCTCATGTCTGCTCTAATGTGATGCAGATGTTGGAACTGCTGTACGTAACTCAAGATTTTATTGAACTAGCCCTTCCTGCCTAATAGGAAACATAACTAACGGGAGTGCACATTAAACACAGATCACTCTGGAGGCACTAAGCTCCAGAATTTAGAAATATATTTACAAAATACTTGGGATATTACTTCAGTTGCACATCCTCCAGCTGTTTGATACAGAGTTTCTGCTGTGGTAAAGAGGCAAAGCTTTTAGCTCATTTGTTTTAAAAAGCAAAACCAAGCAGTAAACACATGAAAATATAATACCTGAAATTATTTACAGGCTGGATATTCCTTTTTTTTTTTTTCCAATTCTTTGTTTTCTCTTCTTTAAAAGGTAACCAGAAAAACTGGAGAAGTGGATTGTATATTGCATCCCTTTTTACTTCTGTTTTCCAACAGTCCTGATCTTCACTGCTCTTACTTTTTTTAGTTTTTCTTCCCTGGAGCTGCCACTGTGGCCAGAGCATGCTAAACATTTGGGTATGTCTTTGATGGGCACTGAACAGTAAACACTGACATTTCTCAAGACTCTGCTGTGCCACATTAGCCCCAGTACAAAGTCATCTGAAAACAGTTCTTTCCTCTATTCATTCTTATTCATTCTAATAATGAGATGAGTTTATTTTAACAGTACACCGTGTTTCTTAAATGAGACTTTTTTAAAGGTAAAACGAGAAATATCAAAGTGCTTTTCTTGCCCATCACAAAGTAGGAATTATGGATTAATTTAGTGCACTGAAAACAATCATCATGCCTTATAATATAAAAAAAAGTCAGGCAGAAATACATTACCCAGAGCAATCTCTAAGCAGCAAATAGACCAGGGAAAAGCCCTTGATACAGAGAAAGTGAGGGGGAGAAAAAAAAAAACCCAAATCGAAACCAAGAAGCTCTGCAGGGAAACACAGAGATTAAAGAAGTCTTATTATGTATTTTCACTCAGTTAGGCTAACTGACACTGTGGCTTTTTTGTTTAAACCTTGTACTTTCACTGCATGCTGGATGTCTTATTTGACCCTTGGGTGGACCAACATATTTTGGGTGTGGGTTTTAGACTGGGTACAACTGGGTCTCCAGGCAGCTCCAGGGCTGCTGGCAGCTGTGCTGGTGGTAAATGCCAAATATTGGCACGTATCTAGAGATACCAGATAGACACAGTGCTGGCAAAGGCAAACTTCTTGTCCCTTGGGGGTTAAAGCTGAGCTCCAGAAAGATCACAGCTGTATTAAAAAACAAAAAGAAAACCATAAAAACCCTTCACTTGCTCAAATGATGGCTGGGTCATGAAAATTAATTCAATTCAGCAAAGCAAATCATTAGTTCAACATCAGTATATTGAACTATAAACCTTTCCCCACTAATGTGCACAGCCCTGTGTGAGCTTAATTGTCTTTATATATTCCATTGAAAGGGTTTTGGTGTCAGATTTGGGTTTTTCTACAGAAATAGAGAGGAGCTCATGGAAAATGGGGCTGTGATCTTTCTTGGGTCCAGCAGAGGAACCCATATATGACAAATGACTGATCCTACCTACTAATTAGGTCAGAATTTTCAAAAGATCTTTCTGGTCTTATTCATTACACACAAATTTTTATCAGCAGCCGTTTCTAGCAGCTCACTTTTGGAAAAATGACAAAAGTTTTATTATTGTCTAAAGCCTCCAAACTCAGTTCATATCCTGTAATGAGCACAGGAATAGAGTCACTATAGCACACTAGCTCTCTTTCCAGATGAGAAATCTCAGGTCATCAGTGTAGCAGGACTGGCTGTCATTACAGATGAATCTTTTTCTCTTCCAGGCTTCAGCTTATTTCTTTCATTTCCACAAACACTGTACAACATTCACAGGTAAGTAAATCAGCATTAAATAAGTTCTACCCCCTCCCATTTAATTCTGTATATTTAATGGTTTCCTCACTTGAGAAGTAGATGTCATGCTTGAAGCAGCCTGGCTTCTTTCAGCCAGATGCTGTCCTGATGATTTTTTTTGGTCAGTTTTCAGAATCTGACTGGTTTCTTTTCCATGTTTGTAACTCCCCCCCTCTTCCTTTCACCTCCCAGTCCCCAGGCAGTCTCACACTGGTCCTGCACAGTAAACTGGTGAAAGCTCTGTAGTTACAAACACTGCATTTTATTTGCAGTCAAATGTGATTTGTAACTCCTAGGTAAAATCCTGTAGCTGATCATCCTGCCCACCAAGAAATACTTTATTGTAATCCAGATCCTTCTGTAAAACTGTTCTCTCTATGAAGTCTGCAGATAATTGCCATCAGATACAACACAAGGAGTTTTATACAGTCAGTTTATACTCCAGTGGCCTACTTCTATTAATGCTGCCTGCCTGCCACGAGGATTTGCTAGCTCATTTCACTCATCTGTCACATCAGGTCCTCTGTGTCCTGGAGCACAATCTGTCACTGCCCCGTCTTCAGGAATTATCAGAAATTAGTATTAAGTTTTGAAGATACTGTAAGACAATAACACATCACTCCTACCCAGCCCTTCCCCTGTCGCAGTACTCGGTGGTTAATAAAATCATGAACAGCCTCAAGTTTGGGGCAGGAAGACTGAGGAGTCAGGAGATGTGATGCAGGGGAGGCTGAGGACCCACAGAAAGGCTGGATTTGGTGGTGAGGAATTTGAGTTTTCCAATCATTTCCTCTTTTTTCATCCTGCTGCCTGTTCTCAGTTATTTTATTAGAAGTGTATTATTTTTTTGGACTGAAAAAGGTATTTATTGGATTTTTGTCTCTTTCTATAAATACAAATGTTCAGAGATTTTAAACAGAACATTTCCCAGTACACTTCAAACACAGAATTGCTCTTCTGAACTATTGGTCTGAAGAAATGGTTTAAAGGCATTGAACTTTAGCAAATTAAGCCCCCTGCTCCCTTTATAACCCCTCAATGAGTTTTGCCTGAGTGAGAAAGATGCAAGATAGAAGCAGAAGCTATTGAACTTAGTAGTTATGTTTTTCCTAGCTGACATAAACCAGTCATTTACTCCCTTTAAAAGACAGCTTAAAATATCAAAGAAAACACAATGCATGATTAATTTTCCTGTACTTTAATTAGCAAAAAAAAAAGCCTCCCTGAAGCTGTACTTTGGCAGCAGTGTTGGATTGTCTGGCAGCATCACCTCTAGAGCTAAACAGCAGCAGTGCCTGCCAGCCACGTGCTTGCCTCTGCTATCCCTGAAAGCATGGGGCAGATTGGCTGAAGTGATTTCAGGGCTCATGTCAGAAGTTTCATTCTCTAAAAACCAGATCTATTCTGAATTCACAGCAAGCCTGCAGGCTGTGCATTTGGATTACAGCTACGTCAGGGTACTGCAGCTCCCTCTGAGTAAGCTCAGTGCTCCACTGCCAGGCAATAATGAATGGGTGAAGCTGACCAGAAGCTATGTGAACAAACCAAGATAATTTTGCCCCAGAAATAAACGTTACTTGAATATCCTATAATTTCTCATAAAATGTCTGTATCTAGTACATTTACACAGGTAGTTGTGTTGCAAGATGAATTCTTGGGCTGAGTTGAGCTAGAGTTTGAAGTTACTGTGCAGAAATAGAATGAATAAGTTTTCCTACTCCATAAAGTCATTGTATTTATTTACAGAGCACGTTTAAAGAAAACACTGAAGAGTGATTCTCTGTACGAAGCACTCCTACCTCTTGTGTCACCTCTGCTGCTGTTCCTTCTTCTCACAGTCTGGGTGGTTTTATCTCCAGGCAACATATTGGCAAAGCAACCAAGGCTGTTTTTATGGATGGTTGGGGTTGCTTTCTCAAACGTTATTGTAAGTATGTTTGTGGTGGTGGAACTATTTGGATGTAGCTTTCTATTTTTATGTGAATAAGTAGAAGGGAACAGAAAATGTAGCTAAAACTCAGCAGAATCACACAGCTCTTCTACCTCTGTGTTACACTGACTTACAGAAGTACATCACATCACTTGTCTGGACTAGGCACACTTACAGTACTGCAAAACCTACTCTACTACACCATAACATTCTTAGGAGGGTTCTTTTTTCCCCTGAGGGCTTATGAAAACTCAAGGGAGGCCTTCCTTCCAGAAACAGAACAGATGCTCCCCAACATAGGCAGAACTGGAGACTTCTCTAAAGTAAAGCTCAGCACAGGCACAGATTTAGCAGCAGGAGTGGTGGGGTTGTAGCCCTCCTCTGCAGTTGTGCCCATCAGTGTGGTACTCACATCCCTGTTCCCTGCAGTTCAGCTGATCCCACAGTTGCCTCTGACTGTTCAGAATAAGGCTGTACTACTGACAGCATTTTTTTAGGGAAAATTTGAAAAGATGCAGAGGCCTTGCCATGGGTCTCTCCTCACAGATGAGTTTCTCCTATACCACATCACTGTGACCAGTTTCCCCCTTTAATGCCTATGAGGCAACATACTCTGTGAAGGAACCCCATGGGCAGAGAGATAGTGAGTGCTGCAGCTACCCCAGGGATCTCTGCTTTGGAGGAGGCCCTTTGCCTCTTTTCTTGCCAGAGGAGAGGCAGGAGAGCTGCAGTCTTTTGCTGGCCACTTGTCCCAGTAGGAAGGACAAGGCCATCAGTAGTCTACACATAGAAAAGACTTTGCCACCCCATTCCAAAGTACACAGGGAAGATGAGAGGTGGCTGACCACCAGAGGAATAAATAGATGGATGCATTCACTCACAGTACATGATGTAATAAAGAAAAGAAACCAGATCAAAGGGGAAGGAGTGAGACAGGTCATCAGTCCTATTCCAACCACATAGCAATTGCCAAGGAAAAGCCACATTACCTACATAATCCTCCTTCTGTCCTGGCCTTGATCTTGTCCACTGGGAACTCTACTCGCAGTAGTGAGCCAGGGAGCACTTCTGATAACTGGAAGCCCCACACAGCACATCTACCATGTAGGCAGGCTTCCCAGCACCACTGCAGGCAGAGCCAGCTTTTATGCTGTTAACTTGGAGGGAGGACACTTGATGTTAATGCCTAGGGCAGGGGCACCTGGTGGTGATCTCCTAATGGGTTCCCACCCAAGGCTGGCCAGACCCTGGGTGAAAACCAATCAGGAGGGTCTTTCCTGCTTGGTTGTGGACATCATCCATATGCCAACCCTCCCTCAGGGCTGGGGGTCTAAACCCCAGCACTTTATGCAGCCAAGAAGAAGTGTTCCTCCAGTTAATGCTAAAATGCCCTAAAGGACAGTAACTGGTGTCATTTTAGAAAGGTAGTCTCCAGCATCATCTAAAATCACATCACTGAGCAACACTGCATCCAATGTAAGAAGAGAAGGTCTTGAAGTGTCTTGCATTATGAGAGGGATCTTTGAAAATGTGGGGCTTTGAAAGGGAAAGAATAACCTCACTGTAAATTTGTATTCAGGAACACAAATCATAATTGTGATGTTTGTTAGATGTATCCTATGAATGAACATTTCTGAAGGGCACAAATCAAACAGTTCCATATTAAGGACCTGAACTCCCAGAAGCTGGGTCATTTTCAGATGTATTAAGGTTTATTGGATCCATTTTTCATTATCTAATCTACCCCTTTTTCTTAAGAGAACAATGTAGATTCCTAAATGAGGAATACAATTATTTCATGCCAGTGGGGGAAAAGTACTTTCAATGTCTGGCAAACAGCAGGTTCTGCATATATGTCTTAACCAACCAAGAACAGTTGTGGCAGGATGCTTGCAGAAGAAAAATAGTAAGGCAAAGCAGAAGTTTCCTTGCAGACTGCAGTTTATTAGACATTGAGTGCAATGCATATTCTTCAGGTTTTGTTTTTTCCTTTACCAAAACATCTACTGCAGCGTTAGAGGTGAATTAAAAATGTATGTTTGTTAGTTGAAATTTGTAACATTTCAAAAGCAAGCATTAAAAATGTATGGGTCATAGTGGGAACTTAGAACATTTTAAAAATGAAGAACAAGCCTGTAATTCCTTTCACCTCCTCTGGGCCCTTATCCACATAGGTCTCCTCCAGCATCAGAAGGTGGCTTGTCATGGCAATGCTCTTCTTCTCCATGATAGTCTGATATGTTGGGTTTCCATTATCTGCTCTGTAGATCACAAACTGCAGTCCTCTGCCTGCAGTTTTCTACCTCTACCTGGTAGAGGGTAGTGGCTTTAAGCTAGAAAAGGGTAGGTTTAGGTTAGACATTAGGAAAAAGTTCTTCAATGTGAGGGTGATAGACCACTGGCATAGGTTGCCCAGACAGGTGGTGGAGGCCCCATCCCTGGAGACATTTAAGATCAGGCTGGATGAACCTCTGAGGAGCTTGATCTAGTTGAATATGTCCCTGCTTATGGCAGGGGGGGTGGGCTTGGAGAGGTTTGGAGGGGCCTGCCCTGTGGCACAAACCAGAGCTGCTACAGGTTTCAGTTCAGCGAGGCCAGGGCAGCATGGCAAGCTGTAGGCCTGGGGGATGGAAGAGCAGAGGGCATAGTCCTGGAGCTTCACCTTTCCTTCCCAGTCTGCTTCTCCAGACTCCAGCACTTTCATCTGGTGCTGCTTTGCCTCACTTCTAGTGCAAGTCAGTGCTTCAGGACTGGGGGAATAAGGAACTGAGGGAGGCTCACAGACCATCGTCCATTTTGCAGTCCTGTGATACACTGAAGGTGAATTCCTCCAAAGATTAATAAGCAATCTTTATGAAAAATTGAGTACCATACTTAACATGGTGTAATAATGGCTTAAAACAATGGGGAATCCAGCCTCTGGACAGGTGCAATTACTCAGCCAGAAAAATGATAGCATATAGATTGCTTTAGCAATGGAATGATTCCCACAGGACTCATAAAAATAGTGTTACTCAAAAAATTAATAATCAATACTAATAATGCATTGTAGGCAAACATATTTACATTAGGTACAAATGCTTACTTCCTGCATTATTGAAAGTTAACTATTTTTTCATGGTTTATTTTTGCATTCTCCAGCTTCCACAGCACAGACAATAAAGCCACTTTTTTTTTCCTATGGTCAAACTCCTGCTTCTGCTGGAATAGCATTTCAGGCACTGCACAGGGAACAGATTTTTCATTCTTCTACTGTTTTCAGGGTACACAAAATCTATTTTTAACCACATTTAAATTTTGAGAGAAACTTAAAAAAATAGTTTCAGCAGTGCTTAAATAATTAAAAAAAAAAAAAAAAAGGAAGTGTGTACAAGACATACTTCTGAAGTTGTCTAAACCAGATAAAACACTTAGGTGCACTTACCTGGTTTTAAAAATCTCAACTTCAACTTATGTTTGAAGAACTCAGTAAAATCAAGCTAATTGCTTTCACTTTATGCACCATATATTCATTTTTTTCTGCCATTCTGAGTGGGATCCCTCTCCCTCGTCCTCCAGCTACATCTCCACAGGGTTCACTGCCATAATCAAGCCAAGAAAATGATGTTTTACCACATGAAGGAGTGCTAGAAAAGAAAAACAGGATTTTAAACTGGCACATGTTGCCTTCCCTCCCTTCCATGCAATGAACCAGGGTAGATTTCTGCCCCGCCATGTGACTGAAATACCAGTGTGCTCTCCCAGGCATTAAGTGGTGGCACATTTGGTTTGGGATCACAGCTTTGTGAGCCTGTGTGAAAGCACAAGGCATCAACAGACTCCCCTTTTCCAAAGATCTGCCTCGGCTCATGAAGTGAACTGTGCCAGAACACTGTCTCCAGAAAAGAAGTAATTTGAGTACCTATTGCAGAGTGCTTTAGGAGTCGTAGTCAGAAGGCACAGAGGTGTCTCTGCAGTGCTCTCCTCACCAGAAACAGGCCTCGCTTCGAATCCTGGGCTTGTTCTGAAGGCAACCTGCAGAGAAAAGGGACATCCTTCTGGAGGCTCGGGCTGAGCCAGCGCCTCTCACCTGCCGCCTTTTGCCCCAACAGTGCAAGGTGATCGTCTGCCAGATGAGCAGCACCCG